TCTTGGGCTTTCTGTGCCCTCCTGCCTCCGGGCAGCGTGGTTCTGGCGTCGGTGCCTACAACCGTGCCGGCTGCTTGGGAGAGAGTCACAGCGTCCCTTCGGCAGAGACCCTTTCTGGCCTTAGAGAGGGGACGTTCCCATCGAAACGGGCTGGGGGCTCAGCCCCGGTTTGGGATCCGCTAGGCCCAGCCTGCGGCCTTGTGGGGCTGGACTTCACATCCCAGCAGCAGCCGGATAACAAGGGCTCGGGGCCCAGCTGTGGCAGAAACGGCCCCCAGCTGTTGTGTTGCACACGCATCTCCAGCTGGTCGCGCACATGCTCTCCAGATGCTTTGGCGCTCGCACTCCAGCTGTCCTGCTGCAGACCGGGACGCTGAAATGCCCAGGAAAGCCTGGCCAGCCAGCATGGGATTCCCACGTTACCAGCCGCTTCCTCCTCTGGCAAAGGGCCATCTCCCAGGACTCCTCTGGGGCCGGGAGTAACCCGGATAGTGCCGTGATCCTTGGTGTGAGGCACCGGCTGGGTGGTGAGATGGATGGGAGTACCTGGGACTCCCGGGTCAGGCTGTCCCAGCGCCTGAGTTCACACCTGATACCTGGTGGGTGAGATCTAAGCACAGCACTCAGCCACGGTGGGGTCTGTGCCTGGCTCCTGCCAGGCGGCCTGAGGCTGGTACCCACGGTCTGGAGCGGCTGCAGGACGGCCTGACAGAATCAACCCTTGACTTCACTTCTCTGTGGGTCACACCAAGCTCTCCCTCTCCCCAGCTCACGGGCCCCAGCTCACGAGCCCCAGCTCCTGGCTGTGCCGGTGTCACTGGCTTGGACAGTGCAGTCGCTCTCCTGCACTCAGGACTTCATTCCCAAAGCCAGAACCGTGTCCGCTTTGTCCCTGCCCCGTGAGCCCCTTTGCCAGAATTCACACTCCCTCCAGCTGGGATCTGGACCAGGCCTTCGTCACCCCATTGCCCCAGCCAGACCCTGCTTCACGGGCTCCTCACGCCCCACTGCCATGTCTGGTACCACACGTGGCTCTGCAGCCTCTGGGCACAGCCCAGCGCTGACGCCTTGAACTCCCCACCCCCCATGTGCAAAACGGCTTAGCCAGGTCCCAGCCAAGCGGCACCGAATGGGCTGTGTCCTCACACCGCTGGGTTAGTGACCAGCTGCCAGTGCGTCGCCCCTGCCAGGGGTGCAGGCTGGCCTGTAACGCTGACTCTGCCGTGTCCTACCTGTGCCTGTGTCACTGGGTGAGTTACGCCTCCTTGCTCCCAGCTTTCTGGGCATGAGGGCATCTCTGAGGGCATGTGCTGCTGGCGCCGCTCTGGGAGCCAGGCCCTGCTGAGGCCCTATGGCCCAGCTCCCCAGAACACACTGAGGTGCACATGCACAAACAGGTGACAATGGCTGTGATGCAAACACACTTGGGCCTGGTGTCCCTGAGTCACGGAGCAGCAGCCCCTGCTCTGTCGTGTAGCCACGTCCTACGGCTGGGGACTCGGCCACGGCTCCAGGCCTGGGACAGACCGAAGGCGCTTGCAGTCCTGGAGCAGAGGCTACGAAACGCGCCCCTCTGCCAGGGAGCATGGTGCGGCGGGCCCGGCCTTCGCTGCTGCTGAGAGACGAGGCCAGGCGTGGTTGGACAGCCCACCTTTATTATCCAACATCTCCCACACAATCTCAGCTAACTCCCGGAGCCCGGCTCTCCACACACCTCAATAAAATCTCTTCTGGAAGGAAATATTCACACCTCTAACAATGCCCCCCAAGCCCCTGGGGAGCAGTGACCCTGCCTGTACCGCCTCAGCCCACTTCTCCTGCGAGCTGGGGAGTGGGGTGCCCCACCCCACTTCCCTCCCACCAGCTTCCAGACTAGCAGAGCTTCAGAAAATATAATTTAAATATTAACATTTACAGCGAAGGCTCCCGCGGGCCCAGCTCGCAGCGCCCCAGCCAGTGCTGAGGGCAGGACTCCTCCTCGGCTGAGCCCCTACGGGCTTCCTTAGCCTGGCCGAAGCGACTCCTCGCAGCCCCCCAGCCAGTGCCGGGGGCAGGACTCCTGGCTAACGCCCCTGCCCAGGGCTCAGCTGAGCCCCTACGGGCTTCCTTAGCCTGGCCGAAGCGACTCCTCGCAGCCCCCCAGTGCGTCTCATGCCGCCCATTTCGCAGCGTGGCTCCAAAGCTCGGCTGGCGCCCCAGGAGGGGCTGGTAGAAGCTATTCCCTCACCCTCCTCGCCTGTCTCACGGCCAGGCGGCAGCAGGGGGAGCTGCTCCCACGCACATTCTGTCTGGGAAAGCTCTGGGTTGCTCGGTGGGCTGATCCCAGGATCCCTCTGGCCCTCAGTCTCTCAGTGGGGTGGGCCCAGGGTGCTCTACGGCTGCCAGGACCTGACTCTCTGGATCCGAGGGAAGAAGCAGCGGAGGGCAATGGCTACCCCCGGGGATCGGTCCGTGCCCGGCCCATCACTATAGTGAACAACGAAATCCCTTGGGGGGAGGCCCCGCAGCCCCGCGCTGCACTGAGCCTGGCCCACTTCTTTCCCCAGTCCCAGGCTCACCCCCGTTACGGGCAGTGGCCCGGCAGTGTGGGGAGAAGGGCGGCCGGGAGGCTGGAGCTGCCATGGGCAGCGGCACTGCAGTGTGGGGAGAGAAGGGTGGCTGGGTTCTGGCAGGCTGGAGCTGCCAAGAGCCCCTGGCACCTGCCTGAGAGCAAAGCGCCCGGGGGGAGCGCAGAGCCGGGAGATGCCCTGGTTAGCACAGGGAAGGGGAGGCTCTGAGGGGCTGGGCTGGCTCTAGCCAGCTGGGTGAGCTCCGTCCCCTTTGCAGTGCTTGTGTCTGTGCCCCCTGTCCCAGACTAAGAACACAACCCTTGAGCCCCGTCTCTGCACTTCCCCAGAGCAAGGAGCCAGCTCCCCTATCAGAAACCGGCCTGGTGCAGCGCTATCCCCTGCAGTCCGATCCCGTGGAGCCGGGCTGTCCGTGCGCACAGGCCGAATTCACCAGCCGGATTTTCACTCGGCCTGTGGAAGAAACACTGACGGTGTGAAGAGGGCGTGTGGCCCACAACTCCCAGGCACCATCGCCCCTGAGTCGCAGGTCTCTGTCACTGCACCAAGAGGAGCCAGTCATCTCACCAATGGAGTCATATTCTTCTCCGTGGGCACAGCAATGCCAGGGGCCAAGCTGGCTCGTGGGGCTGGGGCCAAGCAGACAGCCTGGCCAGGTATTGCCGTGCCGTTGGGCCACCCTGGAGGAGTCGCTCGGGACTCCCGCTCTGAGTGGTTATTCTCCAAGGGGAACGGGACCTGCCAGTGATGACGCACATCCCACCGGGTGCAGAGCCCCAGGAGAGGGGGGCCCATTCTGCAGCGGGCAGGTCACAGCCCCACCGACTGGCAGCAAGTTCTGTGCAGGAAGCGAGAGGACAGGGGAGGGTTAAAGCAGGCCCAGCAGGTCTCGTCTTGGCCAGTGGCTTTCGGGCAGAGCTATCGGTACCGGCAGGCCAGGGCGTGAACGTTCTTCACCACATAGAAGCTCATGGTCAGTGGTGGGACGACCAGGGTGCGGCCAGCACGAAGGGGGCGAGGTTTCAGCTCAGGAAGTGTCCCATCATCCGCCATGGCCAGCGGCTGCCCGTTGAGCTGCACGGACCTGCAGGAGAAGCACACTCAGGTCAGCGTCTCCACGGCGGCCTGGGAGCCCGGCACAAGGCAGCCAGCCGACAGGGCGTGTGCCTGCAGCCCGGTGCGGGGCTGTGCGAGCTGCATGCATCTGCCCAGCAGGCATGAGCCATAGGTCTGCAAAGGCAGGTGATGGCCATGGGAGGAGCAGGTGGTGCTGGGAGCCTCCGCAGGGACTGAGGCATGAGGACAATGAGCTGATCTCCCAGGTGGCTGAGCAGGAGTCGGGGCGGGGGGGGAGGGGGCTGCAGTGGTTCCGCACCCCAGAACTGGTCACTTATCTGGGTGCCTCACTTGGGGCTACTGCAGTGGTGGGCACTGCGGCCCGTCAGGGTGATGCGCTGGCGGCCGCGAGACGGTTTGTTTATATCGACTGCCCGCAGCTCCCAGTGGCCCCAGGTGGCAATTCCGGGCCATAGGATGGGTGGGGGGACGTCAGACGGACTGT